CCTGGCTACATGTACATCACTGCATGTAGGATTAGTAAGAATTAAAAAAAATATGAGCGTGGTGGCGGACGTCCAAACTGCGGATGGGCAAAACCATTAGTGTCACACGTACCCATACAAAGACAAGGCAGCAAACCCTATCCTACTGTACCCATGCAAATACTTGACACCACTCACCTCGGAAACTGTTGCATCTTGGAGAACTCCGAGCACTTCATACAAATCTTTTTCACTTATGTCAGGCGCCATGTTTCACATGTGTGAATAGCGCCCTCCAGTGACGCCTGGTCGAGAGTTTGTTGCAAGTTGGCTCGTGGTATGGTACATGTACCTCCATGTCTCTACTGTTAACGGCCCATTCAGGAGACGATCATAGGGAAGATTCCTTTCATAAATTTTGTGGATGATGGCATTGATATCAGCTATTAACGCACAAAGCATTGTGGTTTACTGCCACTGATCTCCGTTGTGATGGAGATGAACGGGAGCATCACGTCCTGGGAGCACCCCTGAGGCCTGTGCGAACTCGAAAAAATTCCTTTAGGCCTATATTAGCCTACTTATCATCATATGGAGGTCGTACACACAGTTGTTTTTTATAAAATCGAGTCCCACTCCAGCAAATGACCCCTCCCAGGTGTCTTCGGCCGGCAAGCTATGTCGCTAACTCCCTTGAGTAATTTGAAAATTTCAAGCTTGATAGGCCCCTATAACTAATAGGGAACGGACTAGGACTACATTTATCTTTGCTGATTTGGTTTGGGTTTGGTTATTTCTTCCAAGCTGATACTGAGATTTGCGTCCGCAGATTAAACTTCCGTAGCTCGTACAAGTTCACTTTTTTCCTTTTTCCTTTATTTGATGCACACTTGCAGAGGTCAAGGAGTTAATGTGATTAATTAATGGCACAGCAGCAAATGCCAAATGTCACTATTTACTGCATGGCAGTCACCCCGAGCCAAACTTACCAAAGAAAATGAAAACTGAGTCCCTAAAACCCTGTCAAGTCATCCATTACAGCGTTATTAGGAAGGGTTAACTAGGGGAAATCGGTTGAGTGCATACCTCCGCCAAGGGCCAAAGCTGAAAACGGTATCTCCGTAAATACACATATCCCATTTTATTATAATGTCCTCATCGTAACTAATTCAAACCAAAAACAAATCGAAAAAACGGGGGCGAAGAATTAACCTCCTGCTTGCGGAGGTCGAAGCAGGATATTTCTTCTTCTGAAGCTGTCAACTTTTCCAGAATTATGGTATTGGTGTAGCCAGGAAGGGGAATAGGGGATAGCTCTTTCCAAGGGGGGGGGGAGCACCCAACAGTGGCAGATTGACAAACCGTCGACGGTTGAGGGGTGAACTACCGTGACTTCTTATACCTTGCGACGCCGGGCACGGTCGACGGCGTCGGTGTTCAGGACAAGGCATCGGTAAACGTCACCCAAAGTCAAGTGCTACGAAAAATATCCTGCCCTGACCCGTGAGTGCCATAGCGAGCCAAATACTGAAATCCAAACGCCACTCGATTCGAGGACTCGAGACGGGATCGATTCTCAGTATCCGAACTCGATCCACTGATCTACCGCACAGTCCATCCGAGTTAGCAGCTGGGCCACCTGCTTCTTTCCTGGGTCGGACGCATTTTTTCTCCAGCACGGAAGAAGACCGAGCGGCCCACTTTACCAAACCGTAGCTCAAACCTTCCCCGACCAAGGCTAAATTTAGTATAGGCAGGCCTTGTAAAGGGAATGTACTCAGCGGATTTTATTGCTGTTTTTGTAACAAGAAACTATATTTATCACATAACCCCACTTAATTTCCGATACATGCATTCTCGCCTTCGAGGATGCCGTACCGTTGTGCCCCATGCGTTTGTCACTGTTATTCATTATTCAGATTAAGCGAAAGGAGATCCACACGTTGGATCCAAAACAGGACCTTTACACGCTAAATTTACCAAAAACAAAACAAAAACAAAACAAAACAAACAAACAAACAAACAAATGGCACATCGACAAGGTATTTTTGCTCGTTACACTTGCTCATCTTTTACTCAAAAAAGCATGCACCAGTTCACTGAATTTATCATTACCAATGAGCATCATTGAAATTCCTAAAAATTGATACCCAAGGAATTCGAATGGAATGACAATATTCCAAAAGCTGTCACGTGATTATCCAAGATGACTTACTGATCGGCTCACAGGACAAAAAGTAATAAACTTATGTATGAGCACAGCTTGGGTTACATGGCGCCTAAAAGTGGGAGTTTAAATTTAACGCAGGTAACATCTACTGTCACAGCTTAATTTAAACTTAGCGCATAAAATAGAAAACGGCATCAAAAACATGTTACATGCATCAAACCTATTTCAGAGAGTACACTGGGTCAAAGGAAATGCCAACGTCAATTTACGTTCTAATTAGGTTTTAGTTTTGAAAAGAAAATTCCTTATTTGAAATGCGATATAAGGTTATTTAAATCCTGGATGTATGAGGTGTGGCACGTGCATAATTCTATGGAACGTTCTCTACACCACAATAGCTTGTCCACACAAATCTTTTGTCTTGATAATGTATTTATTTACAAAAAGGTACTGAAAGATCTTTAAGAATAATACAAAAATAATTATGTTCGGAAGCAGTATATATTCATATAATTATCAAAATATCAAAATTTATGTTCATATGTTCATGCAAAATAAACTATTCTTAATATACCTGTTTTCTTCCTATTTAAATTTGGCGTCGAATACTTCGAACGCTGAAGTGAAATGTCTCCATCTACAGTGCCTTTTTCTGGTAATTTAAGTCGAAGCTAAACTGTTGCGCACAAAGTCGTTGACATTAAAACACAGTTTGCCTCTGTAAGGCACTCACTTCACGCTATGCACAAGTAAGCAGCAAATCTGATGCATTACAGAAACGTACTACTGTCAATCCTGCGAAGCAATAAATGCATTTACATTGCGAGCTCTTATGGAAAAAAGCGAAGCCGACAAACACTATTGCTACAAGGCAGTTCAGATTTTTATCTCTAGCTCAACAAACTCTGCTAAGATCAAAAAAATCCACTGAATGGTGTTCCAAGCGCCGACGTCTCACTGGTTCATCGCCCATCAATACTTGGTTGACCTAGGACTCCACCTCGGTCGTAACTTTTCGGACGCAATTCGGCGCAACATGTTTGCCACATCGTTTGTGGAAGTTCATCTTGCAATCTGCAGGCCATGCACAGACAAAGAAATCACAAAAAATGCGAGTGGCTGGTAGGCCTATCGCGACAAACTGTTGCTTGCTTGTTTCTCAGGTGTGCAGCGGGCCTAAACGAACTGTCAATAAAGAGCCACGTGCATTTCCATGTACCGCGAAATATACACCGTAAGTCCATGCTGCCAAGCCGATGATCGTTACGACCCAAAAGTTGGCCCAACAAGTCAGAAATGTCAAATTGCATGATCTATCCAAACTAATGGCAGTGTTAACAGTAGTGGAAGACGTCACCCTGTCCACGATGACTTGCAACCCCAGAGTAAGGGTTCATGATGTGACTTTCAACCTGGAACATGTTTTGTGCAGTATCAACTCCTCTTACATGTAAGGGAATTGTTTTACATAGTCTTTTCGGCTATTCGTAACGAAAAAGTGAACTTTTCAAATCTTCCAAATTTCTCATGCTTTTCCTGGCATATTTATTGCCTGTCGTTGTGATGTCATTAGAGGACACTGTTCGCTGGGGGGGGGGGTTCTGGTCAAAATAATGGTGAACCCAACATTAATTTGCGCACTGAATTGTCTGTGGGGAAAACTCTAGGGCCTACTCATCGCAGCCTACTGACAAGGACTGAGTCTCTAAATCAATCTAATTTAATCGTGTCACACAGTGAAACAAAACGCTTTTCAATCGTGATTACCCACACATGTATTAGCCTGACCTGCCTTTTATCATTAGGTTACACTCCATTATTCTCATTAAACGCCGAGAGCGCCACTGTGTCTGCGAAGGTGGCGTGTTCGAATCCTTGTGTTATTTATTTTTTATCACTTTTAATATCTCAACGCGCGGCCTCGGCATTTCCTATGAGGGTTTAAATTTACTTTCCTGAAATACCAAGCACTGGAATCACCTACCCTGACATTTGAGGCCCTGGTGTATGAAGCCATACAGCAAAGAACCACAGTGACGACAGAATGTGGGTCGGAAATAATTGCTGACCTTCAACGCATGCGAATAATTATCCTGACAAAATAGATGATTACAACAATGATTAGTACGAGGCTGATTCATAATGCATCTTAGAGAACAGAGATCAAAATCTGGCGCTGTTTTGGTTCCTCCAGTTCTTACAGATCGGTCGCATGGAAGATAAAAACTGTGCCCCCGTATGAAGCACATTGAAACCACCGAACAAAAGCATAGCTACTAGTATCTCGTTTAAACAAGATAGGTAAGTTCTTTAAACGAGAGAGAGTCCTTTAAAAGACAAAGTCAGTCGGGCCTGTCGTTTAAACTTATTTATTTTACGATGGCAGTAACACGCCTCCGTACTTCCAGAAATATAAATATTTGCAACGCACCACGTTAGCGGAAGCATTCATTTGTAAGTTTAGATCCAACCAAACGTTTAAATGAAACCAGTAGATAGAAAAGACGCGAGTTGGCTTTTCCCTTACTTTGAACCTGGTTTCTTTTTTAGCATCATGATTCGTTTCTATTAATATTATTACTGCCAACAGCATGTAATCTTTTTTGCTTTCGCTACTGTTTTGTTCCTTTATTTTGTTTTCATGTAAGAAAAAGTCGGTATGAAGTTGGTCTTATTTTTTTAATACATGTATTAATATATAACTTTGGGGTTTGACACAGGAATATGTAAATCGGGGAATCAAGCAATCAATTAAGTTAGGATTCACAGCTTCACACTCACCCCTGGTTGGTCTGATGAGGAAGGGCATGCTGGAATAATCTGATCATGACATCGCTTGTGGACCACCACACGGCACGCTATAATGTATGCAGAGCTCAGTATAAGAAATAACACGACCACACGAGGAGCCCCAAAATATCCCCATTGTCAACGTTTCCGTGTTTGCAAAGGCGAGGTCAACCGCTCTTGAACTTTCACAACACACAATGCACTGAACTCTCCTGAGTTGAAATTCACAATGCTAGTGGTTTGCACAGTGGCTGCATTTTGATCAATAAAAAATTGTGCAAGGAGGTCGTTCTCGCCGACCTTAGCAATAAACAAGAAGCCTACAACATTATGGAACTAAGTAGCTCCAAACGAAAGTATATCACGGAAATGTTTGTATAATCCTGCTCGTACACTCCTGTTGTTTTAAGCCCATTTGTAATGATTATTAGGGCCTACCTTTACACTGGTAACCTTGGGACCACATACCCCTAGAACAAAATTATAAGCCAATGCTACAAAATTACATGAAGAAAGATCCTCCCAATCACATAACACAGTGTCGAAAAGAAAATAAAAGCCAGAACTCCAAATGTGTGTTACAGATATTTTGTCGAAATTATACAGTACATGTAATCGACTGTTACAATCATTATACAAATTTATTACCAGAAAATTCTGTTCGTGGTATTTCATGAAGTTTTTATACCTTGAAATTAACATTAATAATAATTACGAGTTACCAGATGAACTTGTTGCAGTGCGAACAGAAGGTTGGCTGCTTGAAGTTGGTGTTTCGGAACAGATGCCCATTGGCATCGTGTACTTGGCGCTTCCTCTTCCTGGGCGAGGTCTCCTCCTCCGTCTTCTTCTCGGCTGTTTCCACCTGTTCATCATTCTTAGCTGCCGGCTCTATGTAATTTACGATGCACAGATAAGCATAAATCGCTAAGACTTAAGAAACTTTAGCACGTTGTCTTCAGGGCAGCAATTCCTGTTTTGTTGACATGTATTGCTGAAGAGCGATTGTGCTTGTGCAGTCTGCAAACTCTCATCTGATTGGGTTGACGATTGACTCGAAAATTAGCTTATAAAATCAGCAGAAGATAGAGCTGAAAATGTAAAGTAAATAGTGGGCTACCTTTACACGCCTCTTTAGCCGAGTTTGGCCAACAGCGACTCTAGAAGGCCACATTGCCATTGCGTCAGCTATAAAAAAAAAAAAATACCGACGAAGTCATAGTAGTAGGTTAAACTCACCTTCAGCCGCCGGTGCCTCTTCCACTACATCGTCCGGCTTATCAATGGCAGGCTCAGACATGTTGCCAAGTTGCTAAAATACCAAGTAAACCACTTGAACTCATACAACAAAATGAAATGTTGATCTTTTAAAATGAAAAAGTTTGCTTTATTACATTTGGTCAGTGGAGGACCAGCAATTTCAAATTTCTAATCGCTCCCGAAAGGAACAACAGTTTGTACTTACCGTACAAAAGCACGGGAGACCCAAACCCGGAAATTCCTTTGAGTGGAGCATAGTTTCAGTCAGTCTTGTGTAATATAAGTGTAAAACGTGCCATCGCTGAAGACGAATCCGTTCATCTCAATTTACCCCCCCCCCAAACACACAATGGCAATTAAGTGAATCCACAACTTACCTTCTCTCTGGTTAACTGCGAGATTTAATAGTTTTTTCACGTTTGTTGCTCCCTATTTCGGCGTTCTCCACCACTCGTGATCAGCAGGTAGGTCCCTGGTATGGTGTACTATTTACGACAAACATTTCTCTCTCTCTCTCTCTCTGTAGCTTCCCTCCACGGGCGACGCAACTACACAACTATACTACATGTGTGGTTCAATAGGCTTACACTGGTAATGTTTTTGCCTAGAGCAGGACAGGGACGAATTTGCAAGTAGAGCAGGTTCGATGGAAGGAGAAATCACAGAGAGGCAACAGAACAGTCTCTGTTCAGTCCAGTAGCCAAGTGAAATGGAAGGTCACTGGCTAGGGCAGTTATCAGCTCCTTCCCAAGGACTCTTGTGGCTGGTTGCAAGTTCTACTACCAACTGCCCACAAGCACTGCCAAGCAACCCACACAAATTGTATGACCTAATTCTTGGGCAGTCGGGATTTCAAAAAGTAGGGGAACAAAATAAATTCTATTACATAATTATTAGGAAGATCGAAATTAGAGCAGGAACAGTTAAAGCAACGTTGTGGCTATTTATTTCCTGGAGACAAGGCTGATAGTTGGTCGTGATGCTCTTTCTAATTACATTTGATTAAAAAACAAACAAACCTTTTCTTTAACAACTTACTCTAAATGAAAACATAAAGCTAGAAAGTAACCATGAAAAGGAACAATAACAGAAACAAGACCTGCTACCGATTCGCTCTTTGTACGCTACCGCCATAGGCATGCAGAGCCTCAATTTGGCAACTTTTTCCGTGTATGTTGGTAAGTAATTTTGGGCATGATGTTGCGTTAGTTCTATACTATACGATTGGACAATATTTCAAAAGCTGTCAGTTCAAGGCTCTGCATGCCCATGGCGGCAGCGTACAAGGAGCGAATGCCATGCACTGGGTGCATGCAGTCCACTAATCAAGTAAGAATTTCTGCTCAGCTCATTAGCATTAAAAGTAGCAGCCCAGCATTTTTCTGAAAAAGGAGATTGTTTGGCCCCCGAAATGGTGAGATTGTGTAAATCGTTGCCAGGATCAACTGCCTGGGTCTTTGAGCTGTCCTATGAGAGCAGCATGGCTAAAAACTACAACGGAAAAAGGTCGTAAGTGCCCAAGAAGGTTGAGGGTTGCCACTTGAAAAATGGCTGCAATCAGACTTCGGAAAAATCACTATTCGGGGGGTGATTTTGTTTTGTGGGAATAATTAAAAATGCAATTGGTTAGTCCACAATAAATTGAAAAGAAATCGAAAGATTATGGACCAGACAATAATTTTATTTGTGTTTCAGCAATCTCAAGGATGTTGGTAAGCATGTTATTGGGCCCCGAACAGTGCCGATTTTATACTGTTTTCAAATGGGGCTTGAATTAGTGGACTGTACCCTACTATTCAAGTACTGGGGGCGGAAATGAAAGAAAACAGTAAAGGCGCCCTCTATAAACACCAAGAAACAAAGGGCGACAGCACACGACGCGTCGCGTCGTGCGTCGTGTCGTGCGTCACGTCGTGCTTCAGCCTGGCAACGTAATAGGCGACGCGATGCACGACACGACGAACGACGCGACGGGCGACGGCACGACGCGACGTGTCGTGTGTGTACAAACGTAATGGCAAGAAGGTAACGATGTGACCCGACGGCACGACGCAAGGGAGCCGTCGTGCCGTCGCGTAGTATAGTTGCATCGTCTGGAGGGAAGCTAAAGAGAGAGAGAAATGTTCGTCATAAATTGTACACCATACCTTGGCACCGTAACGTGGGAAAGCAACCTGGCTAGCTAGATAAAACTGGTTTGACATGAGTGCACGGTGTGTACGTGCTTTCAAGGTTGGGCTTTAAACCCTACTGAACTTTTTCAGGTCAACGTCATTAAAGGAGAGTTTCCAATTGACTTGCCGGACGCAGATCAAGTTCAAGTTGGACAGGATGTTTTGACAAAATTTACATAACGTCATTCCTCTAGCATGTGAGTCACTCCGATGGTACTTTGTAGGTTGGGCAAGAGCAAGCAACTCGGATGCGTAGAATGAACTGAATACTATGATTGTGCTGTGCTGTTCAAGCTGTATTAATTTATTGGACAATTTTTCAAATTCCTGTATGATATAAACCTAACTTCCTATGAGCTCAAGTTCGCTAGAAGTCTAAATTCAGCAAGAATTAATTGATAACTTCCAACCAGTTCCTTTGCTTTCCATAAACAAAGTCCCCAATCTCTCGACCAACTTGCACGGACTTCTCGTCCTATCACAAGTAGGCCTTACACATTTTCATCTCCAGCATCTATATTGCGTACTAAAAATAGGGAACATCGTGGATTACCAAAAACGTTGCCATTTACGCCCTTTAACTGGAAATTCTGACAATGTGTAATAACATTATCGTATTTAAAATGTGTGATTTTCATCTCATCTCGTAATCTAACAGCTTCGGGGAAAGAAGTATAGAGGATTTGCCGGCCTTTAATGTTAGGGTCATAAAGGTCATAGTGTGCTTGTTGTGACGACTGCGGATATTGCGCCGACTCGGACTTGTTTTTCCCTTCAGTCCTGGCACAATATCTTCATAAATTTAGAGTAAATATTTGTTGTCTGCTATGTGAATTCGCGTGGTGCAAGCTCTGCGTGACCAGAGAAAAAAAAATAACCTTTGGACAAATGAATTCAGGAAAACTGACAGCGATTCTTGGGGTCCACGGAAACTGAACAGGCCTACCAGTACATGTAATACATGAAGCTGCTTACTTGAACTGGAAGGAAAATCTACAAGATGTATACTCAAGAAAACGCGTGCTGCACGTAGGAGGGCATGAGCATGGTCAGGAAGGGCATGACTCTCAACAGCAGCTGACTGAAACAGTGAAAGGGTCAATTCTTTTTTTTTCTTAGAGAAGCTGGCATTTTCCAGCACTTTTCCTGTAAGTTCCCAAGATATCTTTCACACTTTGAAAACGCCTCCTCGAGTCCAACTCAGTTACAACGCCCATGGCCGGAGGAGCCCTTTCATAGCATAGCCAGTGTGTCGATAAGAATATCTTGAGGCCTGCATGCAATGGCATCTGTGTCTTGAAAAAGAATTAGCTTAAAAAGGGGATCAAGTTTCTAGTTTTGTCGAATAAAAACCACGAATTTCTTTAATTACATAGGCCTACTGCCCACTTTCATCTGATTTTTACCCTTGTAATTGATTTTTTTCTTTTCTTTTTTGGCCGACTTCATCAGCAGTTTGAATAGAGCTTTGGACGGATCTATCTGACCTTTAACATGACGTGATTTTTTGTTTACACGTGCGCTTTCCCAAATACAGCAGTGAGGTCGGACATGATGATCCATCGAGTCTAAGGCGGAAAGTGCACATTGTGTTGTAAACGGAACTTGACGTCACTATCAATTCCAGATGATGAACATATAAACAAACGGCAGATTTTGAGTACACATTGGACTGGGGATACACAGTGAACGAAGCCAGTTTGCGAGCAATCTTATTTGCACAAATCTTTCAAGGCATCTTTTCATAGTTACATGTCTGATGGTCGCAGCGCGCCCACCTTCCAGGGTGCGCCCCGCGGGCTGTGAGTGACCATGGAGTGACCAGAGGAGGGTTCTAGTTTCCAAGGACGAATGGAGGTTCATCATGTATTGCATAACACTCCTCCGTCCAACATGTAAACTGAGAGAAGATTTTTTGTTTTAACCATTTAACTGTGCGGGTATTCCCTACACATGTATATGCATCACACTTCTAAAGACGTTCCTATATGTTTCCTGGTTTTTTCCTTTTGATTTTTGCACAATTTTGATTACGCTGACATTTTTAAGAAATGACAGATGTGTTTATGCTGCGTCTGAAAATAGAAGGGTGCGTACTATAGACGAAACGTCATGCTTTAATTTCAAGAGATATAGATACATGCTGTATAAATGTTGTTGATCACGGCAAGGAACTAGACAAGCTCAGATACATGGCGGCACATCAATACAGACATAAAAAGGCCCTCCAAAAGTTAGATTAGTTTTATGCATCTAGGCCTAATAGGCCCTATTTACCCCAAAAGAACTGGATTATTTTGCCCATCTCACAGTTGGGGGCATTAAGAACTCAGCTGTCCGATGCCCAATTTTTCCAAAACTTTGCTTGCAGACGTGCTCTTAAGGTTAAAGGATCTAGGCCTATAATTAAAGCGTAAATCCGTATCTAGAAAAGCGCCCTAGTGTCACGTGGTGTCCAGCAACCCCCCTCACCGGTTTTAAATTTCCATGGCAGGGTAACTTTTGAATTCAGCCACCCCCAATCTGATGTAGATTTGCATCATTTGACTCTTGCTTTGTGCTTGTACTTCCTGGACAGTTTCACAGTTGGATGCTGTCCAATACATGTACGTTAATGCAATTCACCGGGGCGGTAAAAGGGGGCGTTTATGATACAAGGATAAGTTTTTAAATAATATGGATGATGGGCCTGCACTTTGAATCGTAAAATTATGTCCTGACATTAGCGGTCTTCCTTCAAAACACATTTCAATTTCAACTTCGTTCCGTAAAGAGAATCATTCAGAGAACACCTTTCCAGTCAGTCACTTGTACAAAATCGAAACGGGTAGGCCTAATTGCATTTTCCACCGTTCCTTGAGTATTAGGCATGTAGCCTTCCCCAGATGTTCACGCACCTCGCTTTAGGCCTAACAAGTATAGCATTTAGAGTGATGAAGTCGCCGCAGCGCTGTAATTGCTTGTCATAACTAGCTTGCTTGGCGCCCTCAACTGAGCGCTACAAGCAGCTTCTGCAGGGTGCTATTTACTTCGATAAACGCGCTTGCTCTTCGACATCGTCGAAGGATGCTCAAGAATAGACCGCATGGCACAATGACCATCAAGAGGACCCTACCTGACGTCGGTTAAAGCTATAAGAGGTTGGCCCTAGATTACAATGCAAAGCCTAACTGGCATGTACTCAAACATCAATGGATCACCAAAGAAAAGGGAATTTAGAACTTGCGCCACTGAGTGTTTTCCTTGGAACAACGATACAGCTTTGCACATGAATGTGTAAATTTGACTTAGCATATTAAAACCAAAAAATCACCAAAACATCTTTTAAAATAGAGTTTTTTAAAATCAGGTTCGTTGAAAGATAAAGGTGCATTTTCAAGGGTTGCATAGTGCAGCCCCGTTAAATCAAGAAAATTTGGCAACTCCTGAATAAAGGGGAAAATGGGACTGTTTTGGAAGTTAGGGCCCTTTAAAACCGTTAGGCCCTACACGAGGCCAAATTTGGCTGGTCGGTGTGCTCTCCTGCAAAATGTCAGAGCCAGTGACTTGGATCTAACACGCTCCCCTTCAGTCCATGCCCAGCCCGGTACTGACGGTCCGAGGTCCGCCTGCATCGCCGTCTGCTAGATACGCTTGAAATTCAATTAGAGAACGGTAATATAAGACGTGAAGAAATCACATCTTTCTAGGTTAAATATAATGGGCTCAGCCGATTGCAAATTTGCCTCGGACATCCACAACGTAAGCATTTCGGATCGCGCAGCCATACCCTCCTTTTTCGCATAAGTAACGACCGCCAGAAAAAGGGAAAACGGTGTCAAAAGGAGAAATAAGATGTATGGGGTACAGCCACAGTTTAACAGATTTTGTATCTAACCCTTTTCCCAGGGCAAGACAGTAAATGATAAGAGAAGGTAAACAGTAAATATTTACCTGTATTTTTATTAAAACAGCAATAAAATTAATGGAAACGATTAAGAAATATCGCTTGTCGCAAGGAAAAAGTTTAAGGATTTTTTGTTGTGACTACTTCATCTGGAATGAATATCTTTATCTTCATTTTCCGTGACCGAAAATAAGTCTGAAGTGAAGTGCTTAAACTGAACTCACAACAGTATTTGACAGAAATTCAGATTCGCTACTGCATCGTCTTTCATCCGGATGAAGAGCCCATTTATCTCCATCAAGACTTGACTTCATACGGAGTATCTTGATTGAGCACTCAAAATGGATCGAGAAGGGTTACGAACTCCCATGGGTCGAACTGTCAGATCTCTACTGCCGAGTTCATTACTTCTAGCGGAATTATAAAGACCATGGGCCTACTTCTTGTTACAAAACCAACTCCGTCGCCATGCAATACAAACGGACGTATTGGCAACTAAATATGCCAGCTTTGACATTTCATTTCATCCTCGCGGACGGTCTGTTTTGCGGCCTGCATGAAACCTCCCGCAACATCTTTTATTCAAAAATAAACCAGCCTCGCAAAATGAGCCTCTAATTGTCAGATTCATTTTTGAGTAAAAGGGCTTTAAATGAGACTGTGTAAAATACATGTATTAGGAACCATCCACATTTTTCACCCGCATTATCCACTGTCATCAGGACGACAAATTGACTGGATACCTCGAAGCAAAGAGCTCAGTGTGCCAATTAAAAACCAAATTACTTTTAAAATGCCCTGAAGGCTCATTTTTGTGGGGATCCATTCACATAACTCATTCCATGAAACACAGACTTCAAGCTATTTTCAGGCATCCGTGCAGTGTCCAAGAATTCGACGATCAGCCTCCGGCCACGCGTTAGCCCTCGTATCATGTCCATGCAATTACAGCGGATCCTATTTAGCGAAGCGCCATATATCCATTCCATTGATCCTCCTACGATAGTAGTATCTTGCGGGGGTTGATGCATGAGCGCGACTAGGGGTGAGGGACCGGGATGACTGATCCTTTCCTCCGTTCCTGTATTGGTAACAATGTCATGTAGCTAAGGCAGGCTTGGTAAACAAGTCTGAGTTTCTCTGTCTGTTGACACGGAGCTTGCCCGAGCTGTGCTATATTCGTCTGTCATTATTGACAGGGCCTTAAGCACACCGATACTCGGGCAATGGACGAGTTGTACTCATCAGCCTCGATCCGGTGAAAACCAGTTGCATAGCATATATCAGTCAAAGGCTATACTGTTCGATAAAACAGACATTCAAATGTGAAATGCATGTCACAAGGCTGCGTTCTATATTTTGATTTGAGGTGGCCAATTTGATTGCATGCATTTATACGGCGGTGTAAAACTATTCAGAATATACATTATTTTAATTAAAAACAACTATTACTTGTGTAGGCCCGATTTACCAATTCATATATGACAGGAGCTTACTCAATAAATTGAGCAGTGGCGTATCAACTTCAAAAATAACTTGGAATGTAGTTCAGTTTGACATATAAATAATAATGAAGACTAATTTGAAAATAGTTCCAGTGTCACTTATCCAAATTTGGTCTTTCAGAAATTCTGAAGTACTCATTTCATTCAGAATAGAGTTAATGAACATTAATCCTCATTCTACTTTAAAATTCCCGGTCTTGACATCTGTTACATGTATTTTGATCCAAAACTGAAGTGTGCTCCGCCCACGACAATTCGGTTCGTGTGAGGATTCTTAAGATATACCTAAGGTTTCCTGTAGCTGATTTGATCGCTGGGAAATTGAACGAAAGCTGCTTTGGAAGACTGTACAACGAACAGGAGTTTGCCTTGATGAAGCGAAAGACGCAGAGGCCCCATTGGGAAAAGGATCCGTCGGAATTTCAAGCCCATTCGAGTTGTTTGTGCGCCGTCACGAATCGTGGTTAAAAATGAGGCTGTCCATATATAGGACCCAACTATTCATGAGATGCAGCGTGTGAGAGCAAAAAAGCGGGGAGCTCCCTTTAGAACTCATTGCAGCTCATTTTGTTGACAGAGAAATGGCCAAAATACACAAGTACCCACCGATTGGACACTCGCTTGATAAGGAGGTCTTTCCGCATGTCCGCATGTGTAATTATTATGCCACAGAAAAAGACAGTGGATTTTTATTTTTTTTCCTCGCGTTTTATGGATACTGCCGGACTAAAGTTTCCCTTCTCTGCGGATTCATTGTCGTTTATGTGCATAGCAATAAGCAACCATCACTCCTTTTCTCAGAAATGTTTTCAATGAGTAGATTCTACACTGAACCATGTCTTCCCTAGATGACATCACAGCAACAGCGCCCTCACTTGTCTGGAGAGCATAGATAATTTGAAATGTTTTTAAAAGTGCACTTTTTAAAGGTGTTTAACCTAATAGGATTGTAAAAAATTAAAAAAGTGGTCATATATTAGAGAAGCACAGATGCTGGAACATTGTGTTTAAAGAAAATCCATAGCAGTCACACTTTAAGCCACTGACAATACGTTCATTAACAATAAATGACTCAGCCAATGAAGGGACCTTGAAATAGACATTCTTTTCTGAAATTCTTGACATTTCACTTTTATGTCTCAATATTAACCTTATTTTCATTTTTAAAAATTATTTTGTGTGTCTTTTGGCGCCTCTTTGGTTTTTGCTAAGATGAATGTGCACAAATATTACTGTAATGTAACTCGAGCCATTAAACCTTATTGTTGCGTTGATTTGTACACAAAACTTGCTAGCTTTTTTACACTTTACCATCGAAAATTTCCATTTCACTTGGCAATTAACTGTGGTATAAAGTTATCGTAATAAGGCAACAAGCAACCTTTTCTCTGAAATGTTTTCAAAGAGCAAATTTGGCGCTCAAAATTTTAACATGAAAACATACAAATTTGAACAATGTCTTCCTGGATCTAAATTACACTACAGCAGCTTCACGTATCGGGAAAAGCTTATGGTGAATTTTGAACGTTTAAAAAAGCGCACTTTACAGTTCACTTATCTCCAAAAGATTGCAAAGTTATCGTACATTGGAATAGAGTTTAAACATAAGCAAAAGTGAATCTAAGAAAAATCATTCTATTGATCCTTCAACAAAATAAAGGCTCAGCTCAGTTTGGTTCTTCACTTATGCTTTAATCTTACAACTCTCGTGATAAGACACAACATTCCAGTTTCCGCCATCTCAAAAGTAATGGCTCCGTGTTTAAAAATGTGTTCAACAAAGCGTACAGCCTCATCCAAAACACTGTGCTATCTATCTATAAGGGAGATTTTAAAAACGAGAGATCCAATTCATTTTATTGGGAGGATTTTTGGTTGCTGTTTTCCCTGTCTCGATAAATAGTCCTCGTTTCCAGAAATGACTAGAGGGAGAAAGTGCAGCAAAAATGTTTCAAAGTAGGCAATAAATTGATTTACAGCAAAAAGACAGGCGTCGCCTTTTAGTGGGGGAGGAAAAACGTCAGCATCAGAGGGACACCCACCTTGTATATTCAGGGCTGATACCACCAGAAACATATCACATCATTATACTAAATGAGGTCGGAGAGGTTGGCAAATTGTGGAATAATGCGCGCAAAACGTTGAGGAACTAAAATGAGCGATTTATCACATCGAGCGCGGAGGCTACACTAGCTAGAAAAACCTCTTTCTTGGTCTTGTGGCAATCAGGAGGCCCAACTCTCCGCGCAGTACACTTGTACCCCTAGAGGGGTTACTGACGCCTCTAAGGGCCAGCATGCGGTGCCTCAATGACAGGTTGTCTCGTCTCAGACGTGCATTTCATTCATTTGGCCCATTGACACACTTTTTTCCCTGCCACGTCTTCGCTCTCAATCGTTCCCATCGTTTGGCATTTCTCTGCATTATGCCGCCCCGGGCGAGCAACCGGCAGTTTCCTGAAACCAATCTCGCTGGATAAATAAGTATGCATGAACCCGGGGCGGCGGCGAATGCCAATCCAATCAAGGATAGCCATTCCACAACCAGAACATTTCATGTCGAAACGGTTTGAGGAGTTGACAGAAACGTATTATTTTCGTGAGAGGATGGAGTGTTGCAGGAAGCCATTTTGGTTATAGAGAAACACGAGCATCACTGTGGATGCAAAATATCTGATAGACAATCATAATATTCTGAAAAAAGGTGAGCTCATAAAAGAAACTAAAATTCTTGGTGGCGTTATGTTTTTGCTTTCAGACGCCATATGGAACGTGAACATTTTCAAGCAATTGAGCACTCTATTTGAATGAACTGATGTTTAAAACATCAAAAATCACATTTGGAGAAACAAATATCCCCTAAAAAGTTACTTGTACATGCATATGGGGAGAGGTTCCACTGGGTATGCACAAAGGAGGTTTCCTTGTGGAACAGAAGAAGTGTCCTACAAGATGGCTACCACGCAAGGCCTCTATAGGTATTTGTGATGATGAGGGTTCAACAGGTACACCCAGTGCACCCAGTATCCACGTAATTTCAGAGCCCTTAAGGGCGTCTCCATTGCATCCACCACTGAATCTTTGGCATTATCTCCCCATTCAGTTGAAATCCTTCAAGGTCATAAGCCTAAACTGGATAATTTCGGCAGGGAAACACACTGAGGTTACCATTCAAAAGGATCCAACGCGTATATAGTTTATTTTGCCGTCAGTAGTGAATATGACATCTGTTTTTATTCTATGGAACATTTTCTCAATTTGACATTGCTGTGTTCAAATATTAACGAGAAAAGGCAATTTAAATAATCATAGCCTCCCAATGGTATTCCATTAATTTTATCATTACATGTACATAATTTATGTCGATTATAAAATAAAACTCACTGTATTGGTTGCAAGCGTCACAGATCAGACATTCATAAAGCGTAAACAGTAGAAAGAACAGAGCGCAATATTTACAGTTTCAAGGTGAAAAGTTCAAATATAGGATACAAATACTACAATTTAACTACGGAAAAAATCAGTGTATGTGCGCATGTGGCAAAGGCAGGCGCAGCGTGCGCTATCCAACTTCACGAACTGTGCGACAACGGCAGAGTCCGCACAATTAATAGGAAGTGGCTTTCTCGCACCTCATTTCCCTGTTTTGTCTGAGCTGGGCTGTCTACGCGACACGGTCAGAGATTTGCTGGTACAATGTACAGCAGTTGAGATCCCGTATCAAGTTACAATATTACTTAGTGTAATTGAAAATCAAAACTGAAAGGGATGTTTCGGACTATTTTGTTTCAAACTGAGTTAAAAAGGACTACCACGTTTTTTTGAATTGAAAAGGTTTGTCAACACTACAAACAGGCATAAAGAATTTTAAAAGTCGATGCAAATTTGCACGAAACATGCAAAGTGTCTGACTTATTAAGTGTTATGGACAACGATGATCATTCCCTCCATCAACTGTTACAAAACTCTGAGCAATGGCAGCATATGGAAACCAGTAGGAGCTAGAACAAGCAGGTATTTCAACACGTTTGTCTCCGATTCAAAACGACTTCTCACTTTGATATCAGGACCAGTGCTAATACCTTTGTTCTTCATCAAATTTCCACTCGAGTGTTGCCATTGGTTGTTACAATTTTTATGGGTAGCTTGGTAATTCTTATAGCTGCAGTCAATTTGTTTTAATGCAAGTGTTCGAAATGCATCTTTGTATCTCAGTTAACTTCCTTTTTCAACATTTGTTTCACCATTTCAAAGGGGTTTTGCTGGTTTTTCGGTTTTTAATGCTAATGAGTGTTTCCATATTTATGGCAAAACTTTGATGTCAATCCCAGACAGCGAGCCTGAATGTTACATTGGGTTGTTCTAAATTTTCTCGTCTTTGCTGATTCATTGTTGTTTACGTGCATCAAAACGTAAGCATCAAAGCCTCGCTCAAGTCTACTCCGTGAGTAAATTCTTGGTTCACTTTTCAATGCATTTAAATAAAAAATGTACAAATTTTTTACGCTGCAAAAGATTACAAAGTGAAGAAAAGTTTTATCTAAGACAAGTTCATTGCCGCTATACTTTAAGATAAGCTTGATGTACATCTATTGGTATCCTGAATTTTTACAGTTCATCAATCCACTTGTTGCACGTAACAACACAAGTTTCCTTTAAGAGATCCAGTACATGTAAATAAAATGGAATTAAATTTAGTAGATAATTTAAAGGATCTGATAGACATAAACCTATTCGATTTCCTGCAAAAGGTGGTTGACCTTTCCTTCCAGGAAAACCGGAAGTACAACGATATAGAAGTGTAACTTAAAAATTCCACAAAAGAATGAAATTATGTAAAGTGTTGAAGTTGGTACGCCAAACACTACATTATAATTACATGATTGGATCATGGCTGTCGCAAAGGGTAGTTTATACAATGCCTTTATAAATCCCCGTCATGTGACTGGTAGTTCGTCAATAACGTGTAGCTGATTTATTCATTCTCTCAACTGGTAACCGACTGATAGTGATAGTCATCGTTGAAAGAGCGTGGTACAACGCGCAGGCACGGAAGGCGTGTCCGTGATCTTCACGCAGACTAAATGGCAGAATGTGATACCGATAAACGCGAAACAACGTTACATATCCTGGCAGATGGAGACATTTCTGACCGCTTAAATGTGCTGACGTTTCTTAGCAACATTGACACCTTTATAATTATTGTTAACTTAAACGATCTCATCACTTTGCATGAGGCACGCGAATGTCTGTTGAAGAATTTAATTTGCAACGTGGCAGCCGCTTGTTATTAGCCTAAAGATGACATAAACAACAGCTGCGGGTGGACAGGTTTGTTTTAAGTTAGTTGTGAAGGAGTAGAAGGGGGCACAATGCAATGGCCATGGAGAATTCCAGAATAAACTGGAGACGCCGAGGGGAGCAAAATCGGGACAGCAAAGGGATCATTAAATCAAGATGGTGACAACAGATCATTAATACGAGACAGTGATGGTGAAAAAACAATGGATTAATATTCTCCCAAATCGTCACTGCCTAAAAGTGTCTTTATAGCTTAACAGGTCAAAAATTCTAGTTTGCAATGGGATGGGGGGCTCCGGCTACACATTCCGATTCAGAAAAAGGCCCTAGTCTCGAATCCTACCAATGACTGCGCGGGTGGCTAACACGCAGAGTCACAATAAGTTGAATACTCACGTCAGCAGTGGTGTAACTATTGCTAAATATCCCGGGAGCCACCCAGCTGTGCACACTTTTTTTCAGGAGGGCGCCACAAAAAAGAAGAAGAAGAAGATGCAACTGGATATTTACAAATTTCAAATGGGGGGGGGGGACCTGGGGGCACGTACATCCGCGGGCGGGGGGCTGTAGTTACGCCACTGCATGTCAGACAGTTAATATTTGGGGGATAGAAAATATTACTCTGTGACGAGCTGCTTTCTTGAATGTCATAAAGACTGAATTTACAACGCGATCACATTTAAACTGTCGAATTTTTAATTAAAGAGCCCCAAAAGGTAGACCACTCTACAGTTTAGAAAAATTGGAAATCAAACCAGCATTGGTCATTCCCCTGGTGACAAATAGGTAAGCGGTGAAAATTGCTCGCACTAACAAAACAATTTGAGAATCGCGTGTTGTTTCGTTCAGAGCATAAAAATATCTTAAACATGTTATCTACGTCCGGATCAGCATTTAAAATATAATAAAAAGTTCTCCAATTTCACAGCGCAGAATATCAAAGACGACTGCCTCGAGCACCGATCGCCAAGCCAAAATATTACCGATGGATTGCGGGAAAAATCTTCCAATATACTACAGCGAAACTCGACCCCGGCGCTGTTTACGCAATCCTGCGATGCTTTTGAGCAGTTATATACTCGCCGTACCACGATCGGTCAATATTTTCACAAAGCGGTGTGTACACATTAAGGAGCCCCGTTTTGAAATCTAAACGGTGGACACTCGGCAACCCGCTGTAATGGGGGGGGGGGTCCAACCCGCGCGTGCAACACACGAGAACATGGATCGACCCAAAGCGTTAATAGTGAAATAGGTTTAGTTAACTCTACACAAGTGTGTCAACATATTATCCAGTGAAAATTAAATAAATACACTCATGTGATACGAGCACATTACTTGTTCCCAGTGAAACAATAACTACCTAAACTGCTCTTCGTATAAAACTTGTAGAAGACTACGGTGATTTCAAGACGCCACTTGTAAGCAGTGGTTGAAGAAACTCTGTAAACAACTCCATTAGATCTGAAGCTTAGTTATATCAGCCTATATACGTACTTCAATAGAAACATTTAGTTCAGTTGCACATGAGTCCGATCGTATATGAACTAAAGCCAGACTTCGGCCATTTTTGAAATCTTGGTTTATCTCGGCATGCACCTTCCCATCAGATTCCGGAAGCAATTGCAAACATTTTCTGGTGGGGGCAACACAAGTCAACGCTGTAATTTTTCAATCAATTGATATTTCTGTTGGAGAAAACACTGTATGTGATTATTATCTGAGGGCCCAATTCAGGAAACTACAGTCGTTACACTGAAGCCGACCAGGAGACGAAGCCAAAGTTTGAAAAACACCCTCAGTAATCATCCTGCTACGGCGCGTGATGCAAAGTCATCTTCTCACATTGTCGTTTTCTTTCGAAGGGTGACAAAGCCGGTGCGGAATTGCGAGGCACGGCATCAAATTGTCACCACGGAGTAACGGCGTTCCACGTTGAACGTCACCACCTGCCAATGAGCGAGGTTGGTATCTGGTTCGTAAGTGACTTCATCACAAAGGCGGACGCGCCACGATTTGCAGGCTCTCATTGGACGATCGCTGAAGCTGCCCGTTAACTTGCAGTTCCATAGTTCCATGTGAACGGCGATCAACGAATGCAACTCTATGTGCAGTGCATGTCCAGTGAGCGTGGTTTAAACTGAAATGACGTCACACTTACGAACCGGATTTCAATTAATACAGCAAGGTCATTCGGGAACAAAGCACGCGCACGGAGGCCGCGCTGATATAGGGCCAACCTCGTCCCCATGGTGATCGAGCAGTACACTTCCACTAGCTCTCTCACCCTGGTATTTGATCATTTGCATATCTAAAAATCTTTGATATTATAAGTAGCCGCACTATGGGCAATGTATTCTGGGTTTCATAGGCTGGTCTCTTTATTGCAAATTTGAATATGTTACTGTTCACAACGTGTGGATAGGTTACACGACGATGTACTTGGATACGAACTATGATTTGCAAAATGGTTGTTTCGTTGTACATGTACATGTAGGCCCTACATTGGGCTAGCTGCTGACAATGACATGCACTGATGCAGTACACTTTCGAAGTTTACGCGGTAATTGGCATGTTTTCGTTTTTTAGTATTTTGCCATTTCGCGCATGCAATTTCGTGTGCAAGTAACTTTAAATTAGAAATACATATTATTAAAATCGAAACTCCAACTGCACGATAAGATTTGTCTCGACAAATATGAGTATGGAGAATATGCCAATTGATTGCCCAATCAGAGCAAAGTACAAGACTTTCTCAGTTAGGATCTACTATTGTAGACCATGGAGGAACGAGGTTGATATAGGGCAGACCCAAAGATATCAGAAGAATTTATTGTTATTCATCTGATATCTACAGGCAGACCTCGCACGCGCGTCCAAATGACCTTGGACCTGCTTCCTTGTGAGCATGCGCTATCGAAATACCGAACTGGCTCATTGACAGGGTTTGGGTTTGAAAAAGCGTTGCCTCCACAACCAGTTAGGACTCAATGGACAAGATGACTTTGCATCACGTGCTTTTTGACTTATCTCTCCGACGACGCTATATCAAAACCTCGAGTGATTTCACTGGACGGGTGGGGGTCCAGTTTTGGCAGTGAAAGATGCATCGATTGACTGGATCAACTCCTTCTGTTCCAGGGGTTGTTTCTCGACGTCGTAATGCGGGGGCTGAGGCTGGTCCGTCGTTACTTGGCCGGCCGGGTACGGAGAGACGTGGACCGTGCCCGGTGGGTAAACGCCCTGCTGGGTCATGACCACGGCCTGCCCAGCTACCGGGGCGGCGGGCGTGCTAGTCACAACAGTGGTGGTTTCCGTCGGCGTATGGTAGTCAGCTATATTATATATAAAATACACCCGCGTGTTACAGATTTAATCAATATGTACATTTCCAGAACATGTCCATAATTGTACTGAGACTACAACGACAACAACAACGACGACAACAACGACAACAACAACGACGACAACAACGACGACAACAACGACAACAACAACAACCTAAAACAAAACAGAACTTGACTTCAGGTAATGGGTCCTTTGACCTGACGTTTTCACGATGACCGCAAATCATTCGAAAGCCAAGAGAAGCCAAATATAGATGCAGAATTAAGGGGTTAACAACGGATAACAGACATTTCACCCTTAACTTTGATTTTTAACAGTCTAGAGTGTTACCACGCATGTGGATAGGGACCTTTCCCTACTGATACAGCAATTTTTATCCAAATTCAACTTTAAATATTCAAATCCCGTCTGTACAAATGTGTTATAGAACTTTATGTGTGTAGTCAGGTTTTTTTTGGCGCACCCAATGAAAGTGTTTAGTCTTTTTGTTCCCAAGCTGTGCTTAAGGAAAGCACCCCGTAACATGGAAACACCCATACAATCCGTTGCAAGCTGCTAGAACAAGCCTTTTGATTGGTCAGATTCCGCAAGATTTATGACGTAATAGGCCGTCCAAATGTGGCAGTGCTCCAGACTTTTGAACAACGGGCTTAACATCGATTTTTGGCAACGTGAGCTTCGATTCAATTAAGAACCTGTAAAATATTGGGATAGGTATCTGGTATGACAAATTTTGTAGTCACTATTAGCGAATGCGAGTACGGAAAATTTGAAACTTACAGAAGTAAACTGGTCGCCAGGCATGGGAACAGTGTTGTAGGTCTCCAGACCTGGTCTCGGTCTCGAGACCGTCTCAAGACATTTTTTGCGGTCTCGGTCTCGTCCTGTCAAAGTCTCGGTCTTGGGAGGGTCGGTTTCGGTCTCCAAAGCGCTGGTCTCGGCCCTCGAGACCAGTCGAGACCATAACAAAATACGCATCTAGCCACCAAGCATGCACGCGGTTGCAAAAGGCAAAATTACCTCCGCTCGAGTCAAATCTTCAACCACTGATATAAATACAAAACAGTAATGTTCAGATTTTTTGCAATAAACAATAAAATCGATGCTGGAATGAAGAGTAGTTCATGCAGCATGATGCAACCTTGTCCCAAGTTGTTACTTTATTTCCAATCCAGAGTAGCCATGCTGCTTGACACCGTGGAGATGAGGTTGTGAGTAGTGGAATCGAATTCGCACACTAGACTGGTTCCCGTTCCATACGTAGTCTCCTGCTGAACGTAGGGCCGGGACGGGAACCAGTCTGTATGTGTGCACACGCTTTGAATTGTGTGCACGTGTGAAGGCGCTTACATCCCGTCTTGTATGTGGACGTGTTGTGTCAGTGGTTTCGTTACGGAACATCTTTTTTGGATATTTGTTTTTCAGTATTTTGCTTTTAAAAAAACAGTCTAAGGATATTTGTTTTAATGTTCACATCATATCATTTGGGACACTTGGGTTGAAAATGACCAGGCCAGAGTAAAAGTAGAGCAGTATCACTGATAAAAGAACTGAGACATTCTTTAACAAAATATTTGACCTATATTTGTGTGTGAGTTTATGCTAATGTTTTCATTTTATTTCTTTTGTACTTAATTGTACTGCCATATGTTTGTCCCTATTTACCTTTTGGTAAAAACTAAACATTGCTTTATGGTTGGTCTCGGCGTCGGATGTCGTGGTCTCGGTCTCGACCTGCAAAAGTCACGGTCTCGAGGTCCTGGTCTTGGTCTTGAAGGAGTAGGTCTCGGTCTTGGACTCGGTCTCGTATGCCTTGGTCTCGGTCTAGGTCTCGGACATCAAGGTCTCGGATACAACACTAGATCAAGTATAATTCCGCCGTGTCCGAAACTCCGAATCTTTTAGCCATGGCTGGAAATGTCCAGCAGACTAGTGCACGCTAAGTAATTAAGACACAGCCTAATAAAGATGCTAAGGCTTTATCGGTATTATACGGCTGCGGCTTAGTTATACATCACTCTATTGGTAGTGCCTGAAGCCACTAACCATAGGCTCATGTATAATTTCAAGCCGCAGCCCAGTAATTCGGACACGGCTCGCGGCGTCTATGTTTGGTACCAAGGCGTTAGTACGTCTTTCACACTGTTTTCACAGTGGCCGTGTGTGTTTCACACGGATCTGGATCACGATCGTCGATCTGTCGTTGGTTTACAGACACCAAAACCCATTTAATGGACGGTGCGAACCAGCGTGAGGATCACTGATCGTGTTCCAGATCCGCGTGAAACAAATAGGCCCTATTCTCGCACAACGTCAAAAGATGTAGATGGCTGGACTTACCCGAGAGACCGATGAAAGCAGCCCCCCACATGATGCTCCAGACCCAGCCAATCAAAAAGATCCAGCACGTTAGCAGCTGCAGAACCCCGACCCAGAAGTTGAGACAGAAGGTGCCGAACTTGCCGCCTCCTGACTGGCCGGGATTACCGCAGCAGAACACTGAGAAGCCAGCCACTATGGTCCCTGGCAGTGAAGGTGTTAAAGGGTCCATGATGTAAAGTTTACTCAGGAACATGTTTTGCGAAACTTGCTATTCCTCTTAAGTGTAAGGAAGCCATATGAGATTCCTTTTTGCTGCTGTCTTTGAACAGAACAATTTTTAAAACATAAAGATTTTGAATTCATGCTTTTTCTGTCAATTAAGGGTACTATTCCTGTGATGCCATTATAAGAAGATGCTGTTTATTTGGGGCTCTGTTCAAAGCGTGATCTCAACATCGCTGATTGAAATCACGATCAGCGATCTGTCTTTGAAAATGATCAAAAGGTGAAATAATAAGCTAGATGTTTTTCCTGTATTCCAGAGTGGGCGGGGAGGTAATGTCTCTACGTCAGTTACGGTGTCGTTTGGAGTTCAGGTAAAATTGTAATCGGTGAGTTTTTTTTAACCTGTTCTCTTTTTGGGCTGTTCGGGATGGCAATTCTGGGAAACATCTCCCTTAGCGGCTAATCCAACCACCCCCTTATGTTTGCAGATCTTCGATTTCTTCGGTGCTACTTGCCTGATCTAACAAGAATAAATCCCTAAACCAACTCATTATGAATGTGAACCGTGAAACGTTGAATATATATATATATATATGTATATATTCTGGCACGTCTGCTTCCATGCACGCCGTCTGCGAATTATAGCACCCCGTCACTCTGAAACTGTCTAACCCCGAATGGGGACAACTCCTCGTAAATCATGCAAAATTTAATCTCCGTAATGCATCTCTGAGAGCGTCCCTGGTTCCCATCCGTGGGATTTAAATACCCCCACTGATTCATTCTCTGGTTTGTAACCTCAGCAGCTCGTATTGACCGCCAAGGCACACATCGCCAACAAACGCCTTAAGTCTCGGCCGGATTTATCGCCGTGTCGCCGCTCGATCGCGCTCTAAATTTCCAGCGTGTTACGACCATCCCCTGGGATAGTAGCAAAAAAGGACTGCCAATGGCTCGATAAAAGCCAAGGTGTCACTCAAGAGGCGAGAACGCACAATTTACAACAGCACGCACATAAATAGACCTGTCGCCTGCACTACTAGACAACACTAACAGTAACTTGGATAGAACGGTAGGATGATTGAGATTAAACTCAACACACATGTACATTAATCAAACTTTGACAAAACGTTGCTTAATATATGGAAAACACTATTTTTGTTATTAAATACCAAGAAGCTAAATTCTTAAAAGCTAATTCCTTTGTAGTTTACGTCGAATAAAAAAATACCTCCCTTTACATTTGAGGCTCATCCATTACTCGGAGCTACAATATTGGGCCTGTGAGCGATGAGCTTAAACAGATTTTTTTCTGCCATTAGCCTGCGAGACATGAAAACTCTTACATGTTCGTGATGTGGCGATGAAATGACTTTCACATGATTTGCTGTGTCCCTTCAGGCCCACGCTAGTTAAGGAATATTACGATTCAACGGCACTACATGTATCACCATTCAAGCAACCACCTTCAGTAGACACAGAATGCAGTAATGCACCCGTTGTAACGTCGTTAGGCTCGTGGTGAATTTTAATTAAGCCCATCGTGTTCAATTTGCCTGACCTGACAATTCGCAAACGTGCATGATTTTATATTCCTTTAACAGCCACGTTCGGACCTACGGCTTCCACAACGTGCACCGCGCGTACGCTTTCCAACAGTAACCACACAATCCTAATTAATGGCAAACAAGAAATTCTGTAACCCGATTGTGAAACTTTTATACAGAGTGCATTGGAGTGCATTGGGGACCGAAATGCATTGCACATAGTTTTACCTTGACCAAATATGTCTTACAGAGTGTTAAGACACTGTCGACTTATACCGGTAACGTATGGACCTATTTCTCATAATTCGCTATACCTTATGGCACATGTTTGGGCTATACATTTTGGTACGGGCCGCCATACACTCCGGGACAATCTGGATTGCCCCCCAAATGCTAAATGTTTGGAAAGACTCATTTTCACAGCCTGTTGGGAGAGGTCATCTATTCTTGTTATCTTTGTCGATACAATACGAAGATTACTCTTTTTGGACCTCCTCAACCTTCTTGAAGAGCACGGACGGAGAAAGGGGGAAATTCTTTGCCTGGTGTTATCATCATTAGAAAAAGAGAGAAAATTGAGAAGCGCTTCTCCATAAGCGTATCAGTCCGGTACGCTCGTGAAAACGTTTTTTTTTTTTTTTTATGAACGACACTAACTCTGACAAGCGACTGCTTCAGTTTACTCATGTTGAGGACTTTTATGCAGATTTTTTCTGAAAACCTCTGGTGAAGATGAATAAAATGCTGTCTTGCAAAGAAAACATTGTTGAGGCAATTAATGCTAGGCCCAAGTTTCAGCAAAAACAGTTCAAATTATAGGTGTAATGAGACTGATCTTATTATCGAGTTAATTTGGAAACAAGAATGACTACTTACTAAATGACATATTATTACTTTGTAACTGATATTTATTTGTAACGTGCATGTGCGTTTACAGGTGGTATAGGAACTGGGTACCCCATTGACGTAACACACGGGTACAGGGGTACAACAGAAACTTAACATCAAAATTCAAGCGTTAAAAAGGCAAACCCCAAGATACGCTAAAAGTGCCGATTCTGTCCTACCATAGACGCCCTTCAACAACTATTAGATAAAAAAGTGATATATGTTATTGTATTGTAGTACTCCATGAAGCCTGTATGTTATCTTAAAAAATCCCTCCAAATCCTTTTATTCCTTTCCTTTTGTCTTAAGAGTTACTGTGTGATTTATTTGAGCGAGTATATCGGATTCCATAATATGGAACTGGTTCCTGAAACTACAGGTCGGGTAATCGGATACCCGTTTCTGATTCACAGCCCTAAATTTGTTCTATATAATTCAACATACCTGAATTTATTTTGTCTTGTCTGGACGGGCTAAAAGTAGAAACTAAAAAATCACAGAAACCAAGTTTCACTTCAACATAACAGATGCATGACTGTTTTTCTGCTTCGATAGTGAGAAAGCTCGAATTAATTAATTGCAAAACTGAGTATTTTGCGTCGTTGATTTCGAAATAGACCTTGATCTCACGAGCTTTAAAAAGTCAAATATTCCTTTGTCGTCGCTGCAAATAAAATGAGAAAAAGTTAGACTAAAAAAGAAAGGAAAGAGCTTTTGATGCAAATTTTAGTTTCAGCAAAGATATCCCAACATCAAAAGTCTGTAGAGATTCTAAATCGCATCATGAAAAGCATAGTGGTTTGTGCATTTTTCTTCCTGCAACTTACGTCACGATGTCTATTACTGATAATGACGCAATATCGTAAGCAAATGTCATCATTTAATATCAAACCATTTGCGTCCTATTTCCAATTTTTTTTTCAATTTGACAGCTTTTCACAAAAAGAATTCTGACTACAACCAACCCGCCAGCACGCAAGAACTCCCTGGGTTATCGAACTCCAAAAAACCCAGCTGCTATCATATTTCTTCATTTCAAGAATATCCATCCGCTATCCTCAAGCCGTTTGAATTGGCATTCCGATAAAAATAAATGTAAATCCGCTCTCGGGCCGCTCCATGTGATTTCCGTTGCGCGGAACAAGTGGGTGTTGGATTCGGCGTTTTATTGCGCAGACATAGAAAGCTGAATTTCGTTCTGTTTGCCTTGCGGGTATTTTCTCGCGCGCCAGGAATATTGCGTGCATGACTTGAGCTGCAGTGGACGCGTAAACACACCCACTTGCACGTTTTACAACCGCTTTGATTGAAGCTGAACGAGGCTTCTTGACTTTGTTTTTACCTAACCGAGCTGTCAGGCACGTACTTTTTACTGACGTTTTGATTCCTGGGGAGGCGATGGATATCCAGTGACAGACTCCCTCTGGCTTTTTGCTTTATCACTTCGCTTCAATTGCAGCATTTTCAATAACCATTTGTGTAACATGAAACCCAAAGCTCCAAAACCAGGAAAAAGAAGCCTTAAGCGGATTCCTTTGCTTGCTTTTTAGGTGCACTGACGCTCAAAGCCGTAGTGACGTTCAAAAATGAAAGATCACCCGACATTCTATGACATTTGGATAAAGACCGTCAGTTTTATGTCTTTTGTCCATGCAAACCCCCAAAATAAATGCATCACTGATTCAATTAGAATCACTCAGACTGAAAAAAAGCAAATAGACAAAAAACAATAAAAAAAACCCCTTAAACCAGACATGGGACAAAACATACGACAAACAATTTTTAAAAGATATTAAACAAAACCAAATGAAAAAAAAACTTTAAATTATTTATTGAGCAATGCTATAAAAGCACGAGTTATGTAAACCTACAGTATAGATTTTAGGGTATATTACCAAAATAAGTTAGCCCTCCTTTATACCAGCACTTTTTCTATAATATTCGAAATAAGGGGGGGAACTGTTTGGGAAAAATACATATTTTGAGGAACCAAGACTTTCAATTGTGGGAAATTCGGAAAATCATCAGAAAGCTCAAAAAGTTCAAATTAAATTAAAAGAGGAATTTGGGTTGTTGGACAATTGACCGATCTCTTAGCGACATTATTTGTGAAAAAGACGAATTTTGAGGCTTATTAGTTTCAACTGCAGGGCGACTCAAGAAGATTATCAGTGGGCTGAAAAAACAACAACTTAAGTTAAATGATTTATTTTTTTGTAAATTTGTTGACTGAACGACCTACCAACCCTTTTGCCCTTTGGCTGCATCTTACACGAATAGCACCTGTGATGCGGAAGTACTGAAGTACCAACTCACCGATTCCAGGCAGGAAGATATTCAGTACGAGGCAGATAACTGCCGCCACGATGTGGAGGGACGGGATAGCAGCACGGCAAGCGTTGGGTTTTCTTTCCTGAACAACCACCGTCACCACTTGGCCCGGTACGGGCTGCTGTTGCTGGTTCACCACTGTACTCTCCATCCCGGTATATCCCGATCTCTGTGGATGTCGCGGGGGAAAAAAACACCTCCTGGATTCTTTGAATTCTTGTATCGTCAACTGAAATCTCGTCGATACCATCAAGTAATGTTCATCATGACTTGAGCGAGGAATCTACCGCTGGCAACTGCACACTGAGAATGCAATAACGCATCTCCTTCGCGGGTGCCTGTTCCTGCGTGCGTGCATGTCAACATCCAGCCCACAGGGTTGGTTTGTTCAGGACGACAGACTGTATTGGGTTGCTATAGATATCCTGTCGCCTGCTACCATAATGCGTCACTTGTATGATGAACGGGCATCGCTAAAACTGAAGAAAGAGAAAAGCACACGTCAAAATTCACCCATACCCGACATCACTGACATCAACCAAGAAGCAACACTGCTCTAGCCTTTTGTATTCAACTGTCAACCCTATTATGCATGCTCAAAACATTCGGTGGCTACCTTAAGTTGAAATCATATGGGTCGTACTTGGTTGTTGACTTAAGTTTTAGGAATTTAGGGTCGAGCTAGAAGCAATGCAGAAGAGTTGCGCAGCGTTGCCTGGAAAACATTTTAAAAATCGCAGACCTTTTCCTCTTTTAGATCTTTATCTTATTATTCGTCATTCTTCTATTTCACGTTTCCCTTGTATTCATTACTGCAAGCATGCTATAGCCAATGGAAGGACTGAATGGGGTGCGGAAAGTAATATTTTTTCTGCGATTAATTACAGCCACTGTCATGGAACAGAATGGCTCTGGGCTTCAAGTCCTCTATAAATCATCTGGAGCGATGAATCAGAAAAAAAGTTAAATTTGATCTCACTGACAAAGACTCAACTGAACGTGATAAAATAAAAAGAAAATGGGGAGAAAAGAGTTGCTTTGTGTTGGAAACAAAATGAAAAAAAGACGCTCAAGAAAGCATCGGCGAAGCAAGGGGATATATTCTATCGACCATTTAGTATGTTTCATGCAAAGGTGTATCTCCATGACGCCGTGTACTTCGTTGCTGAAAAAAAAAAGGTTAGAAAATGACGGGTTGCTTGAATGACTTCCGCGAAAGGTTGACTATTGCGCCGTGACTGGTCGTACAACTTGTGAAGCGTCGCTCTGCGATCATCCACCAGTAATCCTTTAAGTTTCCCCAAAAGATTCTGTACTGCGTTTCATGCAGTTCGGAAGTGTTTGAAACAAGCTGCGATAGCTTAAGGCTGTTCAACGGCTGTCAGCACAACTGGCGAAGGTCCAGACCTAACAACCCCAAAGACACACAATCCGGACACTGCTTCATTAGCCAGCGGCCTCGCCGATTGGAACTTAACGGCTCAGTTAGGGTGACTAAGTCTTGTTCTCGTCTGCTCATGAACAAGTCGATTTGTTGTTCGTGGGTCGGCCTCTCAACGCCGGGAACGTGCAACCTGTTATCGCTGGTAGTTAGTGGCAAGCAACATGGCGGTGTCCATGTACGTTCTTCGAAAGTTAATATTTGGATAATTGGAGTTTAAAAAGAAACAATACTCCTGTGTTATGGAAAGTCGTAAATGTTAATTTTGCCAACTTTCCCATTGTCTGCAGTTTTGTAAGACATCGTGCTATTTTTTGCGGCTGTTCAAAAATCAAAATCTCACGAGTTTTTCCGTGTGTTCCTGTAAAACCCCGACAAGGAGGTGGTGTGTGATCCTGTTCCGAGAACAGTGTTCTTGAGTCATGTTCCCGCCGTTTGAGCGGACACAGGTCGAGTACAGGCCACCCGAACTCGACCAATTCAGCAGACATTTTAGACAGACGCCCTCTTTCTTCGATATACTTGCGTTTCTCCCTTAATATAGCAACCGAGTATAGCTCAGCATAAGAAAAAAAAATTAAATATCGAAATATTATTTCCACTGGTAAAACTTAAAAGAAAAGTTTGGCAGAGTAAATTTGTGCGAAATTGGCACGAGTATTGAAACTAGCGCAAGTCATTATCCAAAGATCTTCCAAAGACTCGACCCAAAAAAAAAAAAAGGAAAGCAGAAGAGAAAAATGGTGGAAACGACATCGACGATTGTCGGGAAGGAGATGCTTAAGATTCCTCTGCTGGTTGGCTAACTGTCATCAATCACCCTGAAACTTCAGTCGTGAGCCACTCTCCCCAGGAAAGAGGAACAAGGAGGAATTCCACGAATTTCGTGGCCAACCATCAGAGGCCGCAAACCGGTGAACCAGTACCGTGTTGACCATTCGATAAATGTTCATCTGTCGCAGGCCAAGTGTTGCCTTGCTGGGGGCTGCTTGTAGGTTATGTCTATAGCAACGGCAAACAGTGCACCAAGGGGAAGTTCAAGGACCCGTCACCTAACCTGCATTATGCCAGGGAACTCAGCATCGAGTAACACACGGCCAATAATTACCGTGCCAGGCCGTTATTACTAACAATAGTGACGGATTCTCAGTTTGGATTGGGTTGTGTGCAGTGTTTGTACTGATAAGATGGGGGAGGGGGCTTTCGTTTGCTAAGCAAATGTACGGAAAATGGATTTCAAGAAAAGAAACGATAAACTAATTGATTCAGTGCAGCCTCATGTCAGTGTGAAAGGGTTAGGATCGGATAGCTCGACCTACCAACCAGCCAACGTCCAATTAAAGGAAACAGGCAGTAATATTCAGCTCAATTTGTTTTTTTTATGCATATTGCTATGTGCTTTACAAGAGTACAGACAAGATCTAAATACCTGTTTTCATCGGAAGTGAAAAGAAGATGTTTTTTCTTTTCATTCTTAGAAAATACTGTCATCAACAGGCACTATTTTGATGTTGTCATAAAAGGCATTCCTTCTCAAAAGAGCAGATCAGCACAAAAATCAGTTTGCCGAAATCACCCATCACCACTATCGTTTTGATAGTGGTGAACCTACTCCACGAAAATGTAGACAAGTGTTATGCAAAACTATTGAGATATTCCTGTTCTGTCTTGAATAGCCTTACACTTTGGCTCGTCAGTATGGAAGTCGTCATTAGCCCAAAATCCAAACTGAAATTTCTTCCGTTGTCTACAACAGAGGTGGAAGTCATACTTCAAATAACGGCAATTATACCACTGCTATGTGGTGTTCTAGAGCCTGAAAGTTGACCCCTGGTGACGGGCTTCTGGAACCCTCGGATAGGGAAAATAACCTGCAACGATTGTAGAATTTGTAATATTTTTTGTTCAGTTTCTTTTTAATAAATCCAACTTGGAAAAGGGGCTTTGAAAAATATTAACCCATCACCATGACCCATCACTTTCGAAAATCTAAAATACATGAAGAACAGTGCAATGCGACAGTCTCGTATGCAGATGAACGTTTAGGATTTGAAATTTTAAAGTAGTCAGTGGGTAAAAGCTGAAATAAAAACAGATCAAAATATTTTGCATACTTTAATAATTTATAAGGTAATAAACATAAAGCATTATTCTATTTTACGAAAGATTCTAATATTTTATCTAAGCTTTGCTGACAACAACTGCGTAATGTCAACTCAACGGAATCTGGAACCCATCGACTGCAGGTAGGTAAATCTTTGCAAAGTTGTACAGTGTCTTTTTTTAAGAAAACGGCGAGTGAAAACAAACTCGCATGAACAAGCAGACCTAGGTACGATATCGCTGGACTTGAAAGCTCGTTAATGAAATTTGTTTTTTACCCATTTCCAGGTGACTTTTCCAAAATATTATTTGATGAAGACAAAGGTAAAATTCCAACACGAGTGTTTCATGGGGGTTTCAATAAGGAATTATCCTTCCAAAAATCATCGAACGAGATAGGACGGCGTACAGGCAGACCTCGCGAGAGTACCGAGAGCTCGCCGAGTGACCTTTTACTTTCAGGCTCTATATTTGATGAATTTAAATTGATAAGGAAGGTGCACCGAAATGGTCACGTTCTGTGTGCTTTAATCTTTTCTGGAAGTAAGATGGAAGAAATTTTGCATCCTGTATCCGCCCCGAGTTGAAGTGCACCCCCAAGCGGCAAAAGAAAGGCAGATGGTAGGCCTGGTAAGTTTTCCAAGCGAGTTCTTGCACGCATTTTGCATGTACACAAAGACAATCCGATTCGTGACTTCGTCACAAAGGCAGACGCACCACGATTTGCAGGCTCTCATTGGATGATCGCTGAAGTTGCGCGTTTACTTCCGGTTCCATGTAAACGGCAATCAATGCATGTAACTCTATGTGCAATGCACGTGTGCAGTAGGCGTGGTTTAAACTGAAGTGACGTCGCACTTACGAACCGGATAAAGGAAGAAATTCGTACTCAGCGTGCCCCGCGTCGAACGCGCCATTGATCTCCATTGTAAACGCGCACCTATGCGCCTATGGGGGAGAGGGGAGATCCGGTGGCGAGAGCCGCGATATCCGCGGTGAAGGAGACGTAGAACACCATACACTGGTGTTAGCGGCTGATTGTGGGGGCGCTCTACCAATGTTTTCGTGATGAACCAATTATTGACACAATCCGTTTGATTTTCGCAGGAAATTGCACAGTTGTAGACTCGAGTCACTTGACTTGGACTTGAGTCAGACTCGAGTCGCTTTTTTGTGACTAGTGACTTGACTTGTAACAATCAGTTGTTGACTAGTGACTTGACTTGGACGTGCAAAAAATGACTTGTGACTTGACTTGGACTGGCACATTATGACTTGTTACCAACGCAAGTCAGAAAACTATTTGATCGAACCCATTACAGTTTTAAACCAGGCGTGTCAACTTGTGTTCTTCAAATAATCATAAGACTTTGTTCGAATCACGTCTGAATAACTTAGCTGTTTATAATTGCGTTGTAGTTTTGCAAAGTCGTGCTTACGTTTTTCATTATTTTCTCCCCAACTTCAAGCTTCGTTTGAGCTTTATATTAAATTATTCATATCAGTTCATGACGCCACTCGATCTAGCATTGAAAACAAAACTAGCGTCCCGATCTTGAGGGCGTCAGATACCACGCTTATAGGTGGCTGTAAATTGCCGTCGAAACATACTAATATGTTATTTTTATAACAACTACCCACAATCAGATATTTGTTGAGCATTCATCCTCTAAATGTCCAGGTTTGGAAAGAAAGTGGCCAGATTTGCGGTATAAAGCGAGCGGAGAAATCACACATAGTGACCATACCGTGTGCGACAATGTGCGACACGGCAAAAATTGAAAATGGCTCAAATATTTCGGTTATAAACTCAACTGCGCTCATCACAAGTTCTCGGCTACTGCCCAAGACTATAGAAGGATATTTGTGAGTGCTGAACTCAAAACGTCTTTAAAAAATGTTGAACGTCGTTCGTGAACGTGAAGCACGTTGACAGGTTGAAGGTTATTTGCGTAACTTCCGCCGATCATCGCTTGCGTGATATGCATTATGCACATCCTACCATTCCTTACTAAAGTCTGTTGCCGCCCCTGATCAAACAAAATATCCAAAACCTTCCTGAGTGGTTTGTGTCGCGGATAGCGGAATAAAATATGGAAGGTCTTTGAACCAAGACTAGGCTGTGGCTTGAAGTCACACTTATAGCGCAACTTGATTTGTACTTGGATCAAAGTGACTTGTGACTTGACTTGACCTGTGATCAATGACTTGTTAGTAACTTGACTTTTGACTGGACCAAATGACTTGTGACTTGACTTAGACTTGCAAAAATTGACTTGCGACTTGACTTGGACTTGCAAACGTTGACTTGTTATCACCTCTGGAAAATTGTTGTATATGCTTTTACATATGCAAGGGATGATTTTTTTTAATAAACACAACACACACACCCCTAGCTGCTTGTCTGAAATTAGATTTGTCTAATTTTTTTTTGCTGTAGTGAATGCGTACATAGTTCAAACGAAGGAAAAGCACATGATTAGGCCTATTGCGTTCTTCGCAAATGTTTTCTTGGGATTAACAATAGCTCAGCAGCATTTTGAGACTAACCGCTGTCGTCTTAAGCTCAGTGAATCACAATATCGTTCATAGAACTTGGTCGGAGGTGGTGTAATTTCAGGGGAAGTCTGTAATACATAACCATTAAGCATTTCAATTTTACATGCGTCTGTCTATCCAAGTTCGAATTCAGCGTGAATGCGTCCATGGCATCTTCCGGGTGCACAATAACCACACTCTGTATGTACCATAGAAATGCTGATCATGGTTCCGAAGTCTGAAGTTGTCGCTACTCGATTTACACTCTGTCCGCTACCATAGCTGTACAGAGAGAGAGAGAGAGAGAGAGAGAGAGAGAGAGAGAGAGAGAGAGTATATACAACTTAGTCATGTGTGTAGTAGTACAGCATGAAGCTGTTGTGTGCGTGTTCATGTGCACCAACCATAAACCACCATTTTGGTTCCAACAATTGAAACACTCATGTCTCAACTCTTTATTTAAACAGCTATGTCTGCTAGTACGCAATACCGCCCTCTGTCCTTCAAATGCGGTCCACGATGCATGCCCGTATAAACGCAAATTATTGCACGATTGGACTGACATAGTGCATTTTAGTCCCTTCCTTGTACTATTGCGGCACGACAGTGTATCGCATGTACACAACGAGAGAGTGTACTGATCAAATCACCCAATCCTTACATGCAGTACTGTATTATTGTCATACTCTGCAGACAACCAGCTGCATAACAAAATTACCAGGGGATTTCTGTGCTTACACTTGAATTGAGAAGTCTAATTCTTTGGAATACAAAACAGACTGTCCACGTATTGGAAGATAAACAACACGACGGGGTCCACAAGATATTTGGTGTAGCGGCCGTTCGGTATAGCAAGTTTCATGTATTTCTTGGAGCGAATTTCATTTATTTCTGTATTGGAAAGTCTTGTTTCTCAACATGCATTAACAGGGATGTATCCAGGATTAGCAAAAGCAAGGTCGAAATGCAATGGCTCGGAAAGAGGATCCAAGACTATAGGGAGTCCAGGGGCATGCATCCCAGGATTTTTTAAGGACATCAAACCCTCCAACCTGGTGCATTTTAAATGCCAGAAAGATAATACCAAGATTACTGTTTTGGGCTTGTTTTATTAGTGAAAAAATGGAAGATTACAGAGGATTAGAAAAAGCAGGTTTCGTTCGAAACGTCCTTACCCCCGTCACCGCGCATGTCTTTCAATAAGGACAAGTCGTCTGAGCGAACATTGGATATTTTACTCTCAATGCTCAGGTAATGATCCAAACCACGAACACAATTATTCTGCAAACCTTTACTTCATTTGCTATTTCGATTGTTTATTTTTCGTAAAATGGTTCCATCGGCCTCAAAAATCACATGATCAAAATGAAGGCAAAAAGTGAGAAGAAATAAGTTTTGATAGACAAGATCTGCTCACATTTAAAGCACACTCGTGATATGTACACTTTAACGGCTCGTTTGTATCGTGGTAAGTCTCTAAAATGTGGTTCATATACCTCGAAATTGGCGGGAAAACTATAGTTGGGCCTATACTTTTTGGGGTGCCAACTTGAAACTTGAATGATTTTAACGAGATAGACTCCACAAACCACCACATCCTTCTTCGTGAAAATTCCATTCAAACGATTTAATAGACAAACTACAATAGGGATCACTAAGAAAACTACGTTGTTATGAGACAAGGAAATCCACGGCAGATCAGGGCGGGGTTTGAAAGCAACACCCCCTCCAAATAAGGTCTTTTAATAAAAAGAAAGGGCGACCTTTCGGTCTACTGAATTTCTTCTCTTCTCCAAAGCGTGTTAAAGCTGCCACATATAGTCTCGCATATCTGAAAGACAATGCAGGCTACATGAAGATATCTTCAAACGTTTGGCTGCCCGAAAATAGGCTTCTGGATATACCCAGATATAATATAATATAATATATTCGTATAATATGAAAATTTGAGGTCCGGTTAATTTACGTCTACAGTGCACTTTATATTTCAAATGTTGCTGATTACATATGCATTCTTGTTAGACTGAAAACGGCCTGCTTAGGGAATGATTAATTGACACTTCATCTCTGTCATTAATAATCCATTATCTGAGAGGTGCCGATTATAGAGACAAGTCACTCTTGACTTAACATGTCAGCATTAAGGTGATTCACATAAACATGTGAAATAAATACCACGAAATAACATTTTGGCCCGCCACCCATGCATGGCCCACTCACCCATGTATTCTGTATGAAAATGTTGTACAGGGACAAAACAGATGAAATATACTTCACAGCTGCTGAGACTGCATATAAAAGTCTCGAGTGGGCCAGCAGGCACACACATGAAATATGGAAAAGGCTGTATGGCACCTAGTCAACAGCTTTAATAAACGCGTGGATTTGCCGACCGTATAGCCACAACTTTGGGATGCAGACTACCTCGCCTTCTTTATAGTGGGAATACATTAAACTCTGATTTCGTGTCAGTTCCGTCGCATGCCACAATATTTCAAATTTCCGCACAGGCCTACATTTAAATGTTCAAAGCAGTGACACACCCTCATCACCCTGAGAATTTCCACCTGTTGATTCAAATATTCCTTTCTACCCATGGTCTTGGGATGTTTTAGCCAAAGTTGGACATGCATAATCGTGCTTTAGGCTCACTGTACACCAGTGTGGAACCCCGCGTCAATCGCAATCCCTCTTTTCACAGGCCAGTCCCAAGATGAACTATGACAAAGGAATGCTTCTGTCGCAGTTTATTTGGAGAGCTTATGATTGAACTTGTAACTAAAGTGTCTTGTGATGGATTTATGATGGGCTTCACTACAACATGGCTGTACAGCACTCAAGAAGTTCTCCCCTGGTGCTAGCGAATGTTCGGGGGAAAATCAAAGCGATCGGGCGATTTTAGATAACTCCTGCCAGACATTTCCGCCGTTAGAAGGCGGTCTTCCCCACAAACGCAATATTATGGCGAATATGCAGTTTTCAAAAAAACCTTAATAAAAGTGAGAAGTAATTCTTACTTCTAATGTACATATTTCAAAACATCACAAAACACCTTCTATATTTGCTTGAATCCAAATTCAAGCTCTATCATTGTTTTGCATGCATTGGAGGTATTTTCAAAAGGCTAAAGTTTGTAAAAGTGGGCGTTGCTCGATTTGTTTTGTTCAATAATAGTTTAGCAAGGTTATATGACATGTTTTTCTGACTACTCTGAATTTATTTAAAAATTGCGATGCTTAATTCAAGTAATAAAAGTTCCAGAAATTTTAAATCCGAATGACTTTTAGTGGATGGGCCGGGGTACTGCCTATGATCCTTTCTGAAATTTGTGACCACCCATTTTAAATTGGAAATTCTGAATTGTTTTTGACGTTTCAATCAAGATATCACGTGAAATTTTATGTTTAGTCTGGGATGACTAATTCATTCTGAAATATTGCCAACTACAACATTATGACACTGTGACACTATTTCACTGGCATTGTAATCGCACTGCAATACTGGATGACGTCGGGTGCTGTCTAGTTACGCCACTGTCGAACCGTAGCACTACTCCACTATGCCACTTCAGCAAAACATCACGCTCTCTGGCACTGTCATGCAGAGAGACTACGGCACTGTGTCATGCCACTCTGGCACTCGACACTTAGTGACATTAACGCAACGTCAGCTGGCACTATGGCGCTATTATCTCTATGGCACTGTAACGCGACAACACTTTGGCACTGACACTGTGGTACTCCGTTACTTTGCTGCCACATCATTCTGGCACCCTTTTCATCGCTGGAAGAATCAGAAATGTTCACAGTTTGCAGCACTCTTCAGCATAAAATATAAATAAACAAATTCAAGCAAAAACCCACATCAAAATGACAAAGTCCTAACCCATACACGACAGCACACAAGACTTATGTATTAGAGCATGACTTTAAATAGTTTGGCATGCATTACGGCTAGTCAGGAGGCTATTAACACTTCTTAATTCAAGCAAGCTTTTATGCACCTACAACACAGAGTTACTATTAAACATCCAGAGAGCGCATTTGTTACACATCACATGTTGAACAGACGTGCCGCCCAGGACACTGGTATCCACTGTTTTGCCCATCGGCCAAGTCTACATATTGTGAATTAATAATTCGATATCAGCACTTCATTTAAAAATGTGCATATAACTTCAACAATTTAAAATAGTAAACAAAAACGTTTTCGTCGACTTAAAAAATAGCGCCTTGGTGGTGCTATGTCCTGTGATGTATGCATGCCTTAAACTCTGTAATATAATGCAAGGAAGAGCGACTCATTCACAACACAAACACAATAATAACTTATAAGTGTTATAATCAATGAAGTCTGGAAGCCAAGTATAATCTCGTTGCGGTTCGATAGCTTTGCATATATCAAACTGTGGTCTTATTTGTGAATACCTGTCCGGTTACTTATACTGTTTAACCAAAATACGAGCATCCATGCATTGATTAACTGCCCTCTCCAAAGACATTAGTGACCAAGGACTAGCAGCAGAAAACCTGTTCGAATTTAATTTCTGTTCCGGGAAATAGCCACTGCGGTTACAATCGTTACATCTGTATTTCTTTTGAAGTACTGCTCCTGATATAAGGCACTACCTCAAAGTGCCATTTGGAAGCTTAATTAACGGAACAAACTAGAGCATGGCGGTGGTAGTAAACCTCAACTCCTCTCATGAAATAATGTGATTCTGTTTATTTACCTGTCTTGTATTTTCACTTGTATGATTGTCGACTTTAATTAATCTTTCTCCTCCTACTTGTTCTCCCGAAGGTTCTCCTATATCCCTAACCAATACCTACACAACGTGCGGAAGCCTCGTAAAAACTCTCTGTTCTCCATTTGTGAATTATACATCCGGCCCAAAGCAAACCTTTATTACTACTCTGTTGTCCAACCGCTTGATAATCGATGCATGGTCTGCTCTTTCGACAAGATGCTAATTTTTGTCAAGTATCCTCTTCAGAGATCCTTGTCTTCCGCAAAGACTGTAAGGTTACGTATAAACTAACACTTTTGCTGTGCCAAGTTTAGCTAAATGTCCACCACCTGTAATCCTTCGTGGGAGACGGTTTCAGGAATAATAATCCGTCAGAGGCTAAGACAATTTTGGCAGTTTCTTATTCTTCTTCCTATCTCTAATCCAAACTACACTATCATCACTTTTTGCAAATCAACGGGTCCACTCGCGGATTCGCAAGTGTCATAACTTTCATATGATCCACTTTAAAGGTTCCAAACTTCCACTAGAAGTATACACCATGAAACGCTTGCCTTGTAAGCTGTAACATCGTTGCCGTTACAACAAAGGCATAGTATATTCGAGGCTCTGAGATGAGAGTCACTCTTTTAAATACGAACCGCGAGTTCCCTTGTTGGCAAAAGCTAGTCCTGGAAAGACGTAGACACTGCCAATCGTAGACACTGCCAATCGACTAAGATTTCAAAGAATCTTTACACTTTCAGTCTAAGAGTTGACTCGCAGGATAGGAAAACATAGAGTACACTCCTCTTGTTGACTTCAGCCAATCGAAAGGCAAAGCAGAGGCTCCGGGGACCAACAAGAGTTGAGTCAGAAAGAAAGCAGCAAGTATACTGCACTGGTTGACCAGAGCTTTGTCTGAGTGATCAGGCAAAGGGACGAGTTCCAGTTCTTTGCTAGGTAGGCGTCCACCGCGCTGATTGGTGCTGCTTGCCCCGGACCTGCTTCTCGTATTTGTACTCAGCTGCAAATTAAAATGAATCGGCACAAATGTCACGACAGTTGTGTGGGATGTCTCTTGAGAGAGTTTCGACACACTTCACGGGAAATTTCCACGATCCACATCCACCCACATCCAATCTTCAAATCAGGTCTACGTCAGCGATCTGGTTTGTGATAACCAGTTTGGCCACCACAAGAACTCAACCTCCGCTCATAAAAGCGGACAGTGCAGTGAGTAAACCCAAGCGATTGCTATACGAGGGCTCCCAAGGTATCAGCGCCTTGTGGCGTTTTAAGAATATCTCTCATCTCTTCAATAATGAACTTTAATGAAATCTGGACACTCTGCCCATGAGCCCTTATACATGGATTCTACACCCACATATCGTCGCTGTTCTCGCTAAGCGACAGACGGGCTTATAAATTTTATGCTTTTTGGTTAGTAAATTAGTAAAAGCTGGGTATGACGTCATGAAAACGGTGACGATTTGCATATCTTCTCGCTATTCTAAGCACTGTTGCAACATGCAAAATGGTACACGATCCTTTCTCATGGAGACTAACTTCACAATACACGTGCGTGTTCTTGTTTGAACGCGTCCCTACCTGGAACAAATCAGTTTTTGCAGTAAAGAAATAGGAAGGCCTAGTTCATATGACAGTGGATGGCAAAGTCTGACTGATGTAATTGTTATTTCTCTCAGCTGCGTGCAGCGATCATGCATCACATTTGGTAGTCCACTTCGATAAACGTAAACAGCATAAGGTTGGATTAATGAAACCTCTACTTACTTGCCAAGGTGCAGAACGTCATTCCCCACGAGATGCTCCAGATCCAACCCACTATGAAGATACATGTGACGGTTTGCAGCACAGCTGCCAGCAGGTTCCACAGGAACGCGCGCTGAGAACTGATCCTGGTGAAGCCGCAACAGAACACAGAGAAAGAAGACAAGAATGTACCTACAGCGACGAGGAAAGACAAAGAGAAAATTAACATTTCCATTCGCTTCACTGCTTCGCGATTTTAATTGTTGTGAAATTGCTTTTGTGGCGCTCAATGAAAAGTGCAATCTCCATTTGGATAATGAGGGAAGATACTCTGTCACCTCAGACTATCGATTGTAAATAAGCTGAGAGAGCCTTCTGGAACATCGATCTAGTGACTAGGGTGGATTTTTTTTTTACATGCTGCCTTGACTCAGATCATAAAATGATGAGAGCCCCGTCACTAGGTCACGTCCTTGACGGAAGACCAAGATCACATCGATTGGGCGTACTGGAATTTTGACAAAGAGGAAGCGTAATCTAAATGTGCCGAGTTTGCTTCAAGACTGACCGTATAAGTACAGCAAACAACGCAATGGCAAGCCACAGGGAAGCGTCGTCAGATTCCCGTCCGTCCTAAGTCTAAACTAATCCATCACGAGATAATCACAAATTATTCAATTTTGTTAAGTCCAAAGCTATTCAAATGAAATGTGCCGAAAGCACTCCTCTCTAACGCCCTCTCACTTGTTATCTGACTTGTGATTTAATTTCGCGAGTGAACTGATTTGTGATTTCATCCGGCTTCAATGGACGTGACTCAACTGCAACCTCAAGCCCTTTTACGACCAAGTACCTCGGTTCTCGGATTTGTAAATAATAAGTTGTTGTTTGCATTGTTTTCTTGTCTTTCCGTTCTCCGTGGAGAATAGTTAGCCAACCCCAGTAGAGCACATACAGCCGGTCACATAAGTGACATCGCCGAGGGGGTCATTTCAAAACAAAGTAGATATTTGTACAAATAACTTAACGACTTAAACTGTTCTCATGGTACGAATTTGCCAACAAAATGTGAAGAGTTCTTGAAGGGTATAATATGCATGCATGGGATGTCGAGGCCTGGAATGGAGGGTAGAGTGTGACGTATGTCGGTTGACATGACAACTTGTTCAAAGCAAAACATTAGATCGGCTGGTGAGCATTCAGAACGAAGTGTCAGCTCACACGACCACCATTGGCAAAGTCTGCAAACTTGTAGACAAGTGCCTTTACCAGCAAATGAAGGTTATGAAAGTATTCTATTTTGGTATGATGTACAACGGCGCGATATTTTTCAAAATTTACACTCTCCCCCTCCAGTCCAGAACCATCACTGGTCGCGGTTGATTGTATCTGAGCGTCGTGTATTCTGTATAGGTCGTTTGTTACGGGTTAAAGATATTCCCACTTTCCCGTGTTTTCCCCTGGATAAATAGTTACTGGTAATTCTTAATGCTGTACTTCAAGTGTACCCATGTATAGTATGTTTGAAAACATGCTCTTCCTAAACCAAGGATTAGCCTGTCAATATGTTCTAAATTTTCACAGTCATTTGCGTCAGCTGTGCGCACAACTTAAAAGAAATATTTTGCCGCAGAAATGTAAATATTGGCATTCCAAACGGTAGTGACTGCAACTCCCAGCGATGATTTACTCCACACAGAAGGGGTCAGAACCGTGGAGAAAATGTTGTTCTTCTCCGGAAATCCCGCCTCTTAATATATGTCCTAGGGCTTACGCGACGATGATATCAGGCAGGTCAGGTCCTAAATCAGCTTCCAATAAGTCACGTCGAACAGCCAGACAGCGATGACGCACAAATTTACGTGGCCGGGCGCCTTGATCGTGTCGTGATTGGATGACATCGGAATGAATAGATTGGATGTATGTCCTGTATTACCGCGAGAGAGAAAAACGTACACCAGACTAGAATATTTTATCTAACATACACTGAGGAATGTTCCCAGGGCTGTTCGTTCGGATCATTACATTATCCGCTGACGCCAGAACTGCGATTTTCAATGAAGGCCAAAATTGACATGTTTGCAAAATGAGTACTTCTAAACTGCCCAAAGAGAGAGATAGAGATATCACTGTGAAACATGGTATTTGGGCAGAAAGTTAAAATTCGGGTTGTCCAGCTATTTATCAATAAGCAAGCGTTCCCAAGTTTGTTTGATAATAATTGTCACTTTCTGGAATTAAAATAAACTGGTAAAATGCCAGCCATTTTTGATAGAAGAAAACTCACAATAACGACTCTAATTACTACAACCATTCGTGCTTGTTACCATCATACTGACACTCCACGAGTCAGTGTTTCCTACTGAGTGGTACCCGGTATGCAAGTTGCTACGGACAGAGACAATCTATGCGGATCATCGAGAGGTTTGGCAGACAAGCAAAGTCCACATCTCAAGGGTTAGTAGACAGGACGAAGTGTCTGGTTAGACTATTCACCTCAGGAAATCAAAAGACCTAAAGGGCACTTACTGAAACACAAGTGAACCGAGGGTAAACGATTTGCAAAAACGGAAATAAAGCAGTTTAAAAAGATCCATCATTAAAAAAACCAGCAAACGATGCACCAATATTTGGAAACACACAGTTTCGATAACCTGTCTTGCCGTATGGATCCGTATTTCAGGTGCATGTATCAAGTTTTCAAGGTGGTCGTCATTCAGATTTAATAAGTCTGAAAGCCGTATTTCGTCAAAACTTTCAACTTGAGTTTGACGCATGTATTTCGATTATCTGGATAGAAAAAAGTGCTTAATATTATCCGTCTGCAGTTCCTTTAATTTCTTCTGTGTAGTCAACTCCTCTATGTCTTATGCATCCAACGTGCAACAGATTTGTAATGTGATCTTCCCATCCCATCGCTGTTCCCTCATCTCTTTTTTCCCTTGCCCGCCGGCTGAGATTTTGCTCGGCGAAGCCGAGACGGACTCAGAGGGCTTGCAACACAGGGTCGATATTATCGTGTCCGTAAGCCTGGCATTACTAGCAAGTCTGCAGAGCTTGCAGAATCTTCGTCTGAGAGAATCTGTTTTCGACGAACACCCTTTCAAATTCTAGATCCCTGATTGGGTAACACGACTCAACGTCACATAGAAAAGTGCTCCCCTATCTCAAAGAAACGATATTAAGAATATTTCAAAAAGTTTGTAAACAATTCCACTTAAAACATGAACGATTTATATTGGTTAACACGTCATTGCTACGAGTGCAAACGATGTGGCTTGGCTGTTTCGAGAAACTGATGCATAATTATCAACAACTGAACCGAGACTTCACAATTACCTTTTAGGACATTGTTTTCATTGCATCTGTCACGATGTGCCCAGGACAAATTCTGTTTGTTTGCGTGACATTATTGATGACCATGCTTTACATGACTTCTCTATCGAGGTGAAACGGGCTTGATTTTGTATTCTGTGTGTTTATGCCTGATGCAAGCGTTTCCACGTCAGTGATCATTTTGACTCAAAGTTATTCTGCCCTTCTATCTATTTATCGCACCAAAGCTACTAACGACTTGTTTTGAATGCATTGTATGGTACTGTGACATGTACCGACCGACTGCGATGGCGTCGAGTGCATATTGTAGTACCTGTGCCATGCAGTTTCCATACCTGCATCTTTTCCAAATCCAACCTGTGTATTTTCCAAACCCTACCAACTCTGGCGAAAATGTCATGGTAAATTTCAATGTGCTAAAACAGTGTGAAACGAACCTCTATGGATCTGTCAATGCGCTCCGATCTACAAAAAGTGGAACTCGTAAATCAAGCGCTATATTACCTTTCGTTGCAAGTGCTGTGTATGCGCGTTACTGAAAGCACATTACGGCACTTCCGGAATTACGACACATTTTGGCCAGACATCAACGACGACAAATCGTCAAAGTGAAAAGTAATTTCTAATGTATTTGGCCTGCAAACCAACAACCTAAGCGCCATTTAAAAGGTCTTATATGTGTGGAAAATGTTCTTTTTTGCAAATTTGTATATACCCCTTCTACTTTTCTTTAGCTTTAAAATTAACCACCATTTTGTAAGAGTGTGCACAGCATTTCACCGTGTTTGCAAAAGGTTTGACCAAAATTACTCATTTTACGCCGGGCGTATTAAAAAAATAATGTCCTGATATATTTCTCCGCCGGTTTCTTGTTCCTTTATAATACATGGATATAATATATTCATAAACGTAATTCAGGCTGTATAAAAATCTCGTTAAGTTTTTAATTTTATTTCACCGTGAAGGCCACCGACAGTGCAACTACGACTAAAAGAATGTTTATACACTGCAGAGCCCCAAAATACCACACTGATTTCATCAGTTGACAATATCAACACTGTTATCCTTAAGATATTGCCGCTGTCAACCGAACAACCACACAGACCAAATGGGGAATATTTCTTTTATTCACCCATCGTCTGCAACATCCACAATAGACCTATAGTACCTGAAAAAACTTTATTTGAAATTTCAGTGTAGTTTCTGTTCTTGCAGTGCATGAAGCAATATCTGTGTTCAGTATCTTGATAACTTGGTCACATCAACTATGTAAACACACAGGCTGGTCCCACCAAGCCAACCGTTCACATAAACATTGAAGTTGACAGCTAGCTTGGTTGAACCGTATCGTTCACCGCAGCCTAAGATGGGAAAAAACAATCTACCTCAAGAAATGAGCTCTGAGTAGCAAACTCTGTTTTTATGTTTTTTCCCCTTCCAAGATATTATTGCAAAAACATCTGCAAAGACAAATAAACGTCGATTTCTGTGTCACGATATTCAAGCTTGCTGTTGACGCTTGGTTGACGAGATACCCGAAGCTTGACTTTGTTTGTTGGAGCCACGGGCTTACTCGAGTTTCCTTCGCGATTCCAGGACAATTCCAGACATTTTCGTCCTGGCTGGAGTTCCCTTCGTAAGCGGGCCACCTCGGGATACGATGTTGTCGAGGGCTCAGTGGGCATATTACGATGTGCGCCAAGTATCCAGATATCGGAACACGTTGAAACGCAGCGGGCCTGCAGAGCTCAGAGGTCAGCTCGGTGTAGCTATTCTGCGAAACAAGCGAGCCTACTTTCAACAGCATTAACACATGAATATAATTGGCTACTTTCATAGGTGATTGATGACATCCA